CCAGCTGCGACTCTTGCAGCCCACGGCCGGTGTTCGAAACCGGGGGTTCCCGGGGTTCACCTAGCCTCTAGGTAATGGGTATTAGAGTTAACACTCTAGGGTAAATGGAGGAACGTCGCTGTAGCTACGGAGTTGCGTGCAGACAGCCTCACCGGTGGACAGTTTTTTTTTTAGTTGTCCGTACTGGTGGCAGAGCACTTATGGTTTATAACCGTGTGCAATGACGCTGGTTTAGATCTTCTGAATTTACCTTTACCTTTTTCTCCACAGCTTCCAAATAATTTTTACTAATCGTCTGTCTATAATTCACTTCCGTATATGTTAGAAAAGGATTGTACAGCTTTTAAAAGCTGTTTTTCTCGTCTTAACTGACAAAGAAAGATTGCATACAATATTTTTTTTTATTTTGTAAAATGCTGTCATTGCTTGGGATATTTTACTTTCAACTTCCTTCATAAATCTTCCATCTGATGTTATTAGAGTACCCACGTATTTAAACGTATCAACTTAGTTGAGGATTGTCCCATTTACTTTAAGGTTGCAGCTCAAAGGGTCTGTTTTCTTTGTCTATACCAGTACTGTTTTTTTCTTTTTTTCTTTGCGTTTTAATTAGGACCCTTGTTTTGACCTACTGAAACAATTATGTTCACAATTTGTTTGCAGTTCTGTTTCATTTGTTGCAGTCAAAACTATATTGTCAGCACATCGCAGGTTGTTAACAATACGCCCACCAACCGATATTCTTGGCACACTCTGAATGGATCAATTATTATTTTACTGTGCACGTTGAATAAATCGAGTGATAGTACTCATCACTCTCTAACGCCTTATTTAATTGTTTGAAAAAGTAAAGGTAAAGGTAAAGTCGGGAGATGTGAACCAGCGTCATTGCACACGGATATAAACCATAAGTGCTCTGCCACCGGTATAGACAGCTGATAAGAATTGTTCGCCTGTGTCACCGTTCGCACGTAACTCTGTAGCTACAGCGACGTTTCTCCATTTACCCCAGAGTGTCAACTCTGGTACCCATTTTCTAGAGGCTGGGTGAGCCCCGGAAACCGCACGGTTTCGAACACTGACCGTGGCTGCAGCGAGTCGCAGCTGGATTTAGAGCTTCAACTTAGTTGTCAGTTGGTACAGCTGCCTCTTGTTGCTTGTAATATTTGTAAATACTCGTATCCTTACCATCATTGTTTAAACTTTTCAAAAATTCTTATAATTTATTTCCCTAGGGATCGTCGCCGAAGCTACGGAGGTCCTACTTTCTGCGACTCCCTCATCGGGCAGCTAGATAGGTTTCATTTGTGTGTGGAGAGAGACTGAGCCATATGAGATAAAAATCAGTGCAATTAATTGATACTCTCCCCTTTACCTTTATAATTTCTTTACGTTTCACTTTATCAAATGCTTTAGCATGCTATTTATTTCAATCCTTCTTTCTCCGTAAGCTGTGGGGATAACGATGACATTTATTCAGATATTAGATGTCTACAATAGGTTGCATAAAGACAGACAAAGTCAAGTGTTCCCATGTTGGGATGCAGTTTATGTCTTGGATGCAGTATCTACGCGTTTCGGCCAAATATCGGACCTCAACACCCTTTGATTAGTCGCTTTTTACCACCACCCCCTTCCCCCCCCCCTCCCGCCCCACTCTCAAATTCCTTAGACTGGACCTCAAAACCCACACGCGAAAGCTAACTGTTCATACAGTCTGAAGTAACATTTGGCAAAACATGTAACATTTTTTTTAGATCACCTCTCTCCTGACTGTGTCAAACATCCCAAGCAGACATTCTCGTCATTTTTGGACAAGCTAGAAGACAGACAATAAACAAATAATCTATATCCTAAGTTGTAAGTCAGACAATACACAAACAATCTCTATCCCACAGTATACAGCTCTGTCTGACGTCATGATATCAGTCTAATTAATGTGCAGCATTTCTATTTTGACCATTACCTAAATCCAGGCCCTGGAGGTCCCAATGCCTGTCTAGACATCATATATGGATTTCTCTGAGAAGTAGGGCAGTCCTGCTAGCCTCTTCTTTCATTACATGTAATTACTGTGAGAACCAATCAGATTTCATATCTCACTCCAGATGTTTGGTCCTGGAGTCAACGGTCTCTACTTTTCTATATCTTCCTCTCTTCTTCATCGCATTCACTGGCTGTAAAGTCCTGTAGAAGGTTCTGGGTGTTCGTCCACCTCTGGATATTAGTTTTTTTACAGAACCTGATGGTTGCGTACACATCGGTTTCCCAGATCTGGCTTATTTATATGCAGATTCTTACTTCCTTGACTTTAAGGCAGAGATACTCTGACTTTGAAGGAATCGCTTTTTCTCCATCTCCAAGTATAACTTTTTATCTCTGCGTGCATCTATCTGATGAATTCTCTTGTTTTTTTCTATACATATTCATACATTTTATACATCTCTCTCTCTCTCTCTCTCTCTCTCTCTCTCTCTCTCTCTATCTATCTATCTATCTCTCTCCCTCCCTCTGCCTGCTTCCTTCTCTGTATATCACTGCCTTTCTTGTTACTGTTGTCTTCGACGCTCTCCTCTGAATATGTATGTCTTCCTCTCTTACTTCTTTTCCGTCCCTTCGTGAATATCGCTGCTCTCTCTCTCTCTCTCTCTCTCTCTCTCTCTCTATCTATCTCTATCTCTCTCTCTCTTGCCCGAACCCTTTCTCCGTGTACCTCATACTCCTTCTCCATGGTTGGCCCTATCTACTTCCCTCGATATTATTCACCTTTCCCCTCCCTCTGGCTATTCTCAGTCCCTGCCTCATACCTTCCTGTATTGCTAATTCTTTCCCTGCCTCCATCTCTCCTTGTACTTCTTTGTGCCTCTCTCTCTCTCTCTCTCTCTCTCTCTCTCTCTCTGTTTAGTTTTATCTCCGCTGTCATTTTCTCCCTATATCACAAACCACTCCTGCATACCTCTCCCTCATTCCATATGTACCTATGTCTCAAAGTCGGAAGCCCTCCCCCCTTGATGTCTTGCCAACCGTCATTTACATTTATCGCCCATTAAGTGGGTAGATCAATACACGGCCGAAAGCCCAAGTGATATTCCACGAACGTGTTCTGTTTCCTCTCCTCCCAGGCTCATTAACGAAAGCGTGGTTTATCAATGGAGAACTGTTGTCAAACAAACTTTTGTTATCCTGAATATCGACGTTTCTTCGTTTCGATGGAATATTCCTCCAACATACACACCAGGGGTGGGCGTTAACCGAACAGCCTGTCAACTTCATCTTCTTTGTTAGTCAATATTTGTTTGCGCTTCTAGGCGTCACAGTTTAACAGATAATAGGTAGCTGAGCTAGGACACGCTATGTGGCATCGTACCCTCTGATGTGTAGTCTTAGTCCATCAGCTACTTCTTCTTCTTCTTCTTCTTCTTCTTCTTCTTCTTCTTCTTCTTCTTCTTCTTCTTCTTCTTCTTCTTCTTCTTCTTCTTCTTCTTCTTCTTCTTCTTCTTCTTCTTCTTCTTCTTCTTCTTCTTCTTCTTCTTCTTTTTCTTTTTCTTCTTCTTAGCGTTCACCGGCTTCAAACACCGATGGAAATTTCTAAATGCTGGTCCACCTCAGAACTTCAGTCCTGATCCAGATCCTGACTGAACCTGGAATTTGTTTCACAGATCTGACTTACGTGTGTGCAGATTGATGGTTCGCTGAAGTGACTCTTTCAAGTATTCTTCTAGGCCTCCCTCTAAAGTTTAACGTTTTCATTTTCACACTGTACTGTCTCGCTGCTTTGGTTTAATTCTCACTCAGTAGCCGAACCATTTTAATTTTTTTTTTCAAGTAGACTGAAGATCGGTTTTGATCCAACAGCTCTTCCGATCTCTCCATTTCTCACAGATTTGTTCTGGTTTCGTTCAGTCTTTGTCTTTTTTTTTTTTTTTTTTTAAACATCTAATTTTACAGGTGTCTATGTCCTTTTTCCCTCGTTTATTCTCAGCGTTCACAGACTGTGACCTCCATTGGACAGTTCTGGATGTTCACCCACTTCTGGACTTTGGTCTCCTTCCAAATTTTACATGCACATCCGCTTCACAGCTCTGTTCTTTTCAATATATAGAACGTCTAATTAGTAGCCTTTTACGACATGCTTTCTATGGGTGGGATGGGTCTGTTATTGTTACCCCAAAATGAGGTTCCGTAATCCACGAGAAAGGTACGCTATCTACAGCTGTTAGATGTTACTGAAAGACAGGTACAGAAGTATCATGTTACTGAAAGACAGGTACAGAAGTATCATGTTACTGAAAGACACCTAGAGGAGTGTCATGTTACTGAAAGACAGCTACAAGAGTATCATGTTACTGAAAGACAGCTACAGAAGTATCATGTTACTGAAAGACACCAAGAGGAGTGTCATGTTACTGAAAGACAGCTACAAGAGTATCATGTTACTGAAAGACAGCTACAAGAGTGTCATGTTACTGAAATACAGCTACAGAAATATCATGTTACTGAAAGACAGCTACAGGAGTGTCATGTTACTGAAAGACAGCTACAGAAGTATAATGTTACTGAAAGACAGCTACAGGATTGTCATGTTACTGAAAGACAGCTACAGAAGTATAATGTTACTGAAAGACAGCTACAGGAGCATCATGTTACTGAAAGACAGCTACAGGAGCATCATGTTACTGAAAGACAGCTACAGGAGTATCATGTTACTGAAAGACAGCTACAGGAGTGTCATGTTACTGAAAGACAGCTACAGGAGTGTCATGTTACTGAAAGACAGCTACAGCAGTATAATGTTACTGAAAGACAGCTACAGAAGTATAATGTTACTGAAAGACAGCTACAGAAGTATAAAGTTACTGAAAAACAGCTACAGAAGTATAATGTTACTGAAAGACAGCTACAGGAGCATCATGTTACTGAAAGACAGCTACAGGAGCATCATGTTACTGAAAGACAGCTGCAGGAGTATCATGTTACTGAAAGACAGCTACAGGAGTGTCATGTTACTGAAAGACAGCTACAGGAGTGTCATGTTACTGAAAGACAGCTACAGGAGTATCATGTTACTGAAAGACAGCTACAGGAGTGTCATGTTACTGAAAGACAGCTACAGGAGTGTCATGTTACTGAAAGACAGCTACAGGAGTGTCATGTTACTGAAAGACAGCTACAGGAGTGTCATGTTACTGAAAGACAGCTACAGGAGTGTCATGTTACTGAAAGACAGCTACAGGAGTGTCATGTTACTGAAAGACAGCTACAGGAGTATCATGTTACTGAAAGACAGCTACAGGAGTGTCATGTTACTGAAAGACAGCTACAGGAGTGTCATGTTACTGAAAGACAGCTACAGGAGTGTCATGTTACTGAAAGACAGCTACAGAGGTATAATGTTACTGAAAGACAGCTACAGAAGTATATTGTTACTGAAAGACAGCTGCATAAGTATAATGTTACTGAAAGACAGCTACAGAAGTATAATGTTACTGAAAGACAGCTACAGAAGTATAATGTTACTGAAAGACAGCTACAGAAGTATAATGTTACTGAAAGACAGCTACAGAAGTATAATGTTACTGAAAGACAGCTACAGAAGTATAATGTTACTGAAAGACAGCTACAGAAGTATAATGTTACTGAAAGACAGCTACAGGAGTTTTGGAAACAGTTTCTGGAAGATGGAAAACTAATTCTGTTCTAGACTGTTTTTATAGTAATAAATAAGCTATGGGTCTAAGTGGTTAAACCGTTTGCCTCACTACCAAAAATCCGCGAGTTCGGTTCGCTAGCCTTTGCGTTTTGCCGATTCCTTACAGTCGTTGATGAAGATGCAGGTTTATGATTTTTGCTGCGCTCTGGGTGGATAATCAAATGTTCCTCGGAAAGAAACGTAGCCATACAAAATAAAACTAATTACAGGGGAAAGTTTTGGTTGTTCTTCCACTTCTCAGTGAGAAAGGCGTGTCCGCTGTGAATCCCCGTTCTTTTGTTAGAAAGTGCGTGTACAAAAGAGGCCATCGTTTGTTGTGGTCGACAGATCTTCTTAGACAAAATCTTTCAAACGCTGCGGTTATTGATAGAGTTGCGCCGGAGACGTCGTTCGCGTGCCAGCGCTCACACAGCCAGCAGACAGGTAACATCGGTGAGTTGTGGGATCGATCTGTAAGTAGCTGGCGAGTCAGAAATACGACTACATGTTCCAAGGGCGTGAATACAGACATGATGAGAGACTTTCCAAAACGTTGCTGATATGCCTCCGTGTGAGCTTTGCAGTCCCAGTAGGCTGTGGCCGGAGCAAGGGAGAGGAATGGGAGAACGGATCTACTGCTACCATAAGAAGTTACTAATTATGGACTGTTCTTTTACTTCGAAGTCGGAATGCATCTGTCTAAAACACAGGGAACCAACAGTCTGCATAAAATAAGTAAGATCTGTAAAATTAATGTACACGCTTAAGTTCTGAAACAGAATTCAAGTCAAAACTGGACGAACAACCAGAATTTTCCACCGACGTTTACAACCGATAAACGCTAATAACGCTTCTTCTTCTTCTTCTTCTTCGCGCTAACCGGCTGTATACTTCGGTGGAAAGTTCTGGTGTTCGTCCACCTCTGGAATTTAGACTTGTTCCTGAACCTGCGTGTCGCATGCACATCAGTTTTACAGCTCTGACTTATTTGTATGCAGACTGTTGGTTCCTTGCCTCCCAGGCAGATGCATTCTGACTTCAAAGGAAATACCCAATTAGTTGACTCTTACTACATGCTTGTTGGGGAGGCAGTGGGTCTATTCTTGTTTTCCCCACAATGGGACCCCGGAACACGAACGGGAAAGTTCTGACCTAATGCATGTTGGCTTTCGCGCCTTTGAGATTATAAACACTATTTCATAATTCCGAAAGCCGAGACTCGGTACAGCTGTAAGCGATTTGACAGCAGACCGCTTTGCGTTGATTAGAAAACGGTATGAGAGTCGACCGGATAGTAAGCAATGGCGAACTACACAGCACGCAAGTGATATGTAAAACTTAAACACACAACAAATGCTGGGGTTGGTTTGCAAACTCCCGTCAAGAATTTACAATACACAAAAGTGAATGACTTTTGTGAACGCCCTCACACATGTTTGGAACATAGGTTTACACGTGTTTGGCACATAGGTTTACACGTGTTTGGCACATAGGTTTACACGTGTTTGGCACATGGGTTCACACGTGTTTGGCACATAGGTTTACACGTGTTTGGCACATGGGTTCACACGTGTTTGGCACATAGGTTTACACGTGTTTGGCACATAGGTTTACACGTGTTTGGCACATAGGTTTACACGTGTTTGGCACATGGGTTCACACGTGTTTGGCACATAGGTTTACACGTGTTTGGCACATAGGTTTACACGTGTTTGACACATAGGTTTACACGTGTTTGGCACATAGGTTTACACGTGTTTGGCACACAGGTTTACACGTGTTTGGCACATAGGTTTACACGTGTTTGGCACATAGGCTTACACGTGTTTGGCACATAGGTTTACACGTGTTTGGTACATAGGTTTACACGTGTTTGGCACATAGGTTTACACGTGTTTGGCACATAGTTTTACACGTGTTTGGCACATAGGTTTACACGTGTTTGGCACATAGGTTTGCAGTGTTTGGCACATAGGTTTGCAGTGTTTGGCACATAGGCTTACACGTGTTTGGCACATAGGTTTACACGTGTTTGGCACATAGGTTTACACGTGTTTGGCACATAGGTTTACACGTGTTTGGCACATAGGTTTACACGTGTTTGGCACATAGGTTTACACGTGTTTGGCACATAGGTTTACACGTGTTTGGCACATAGGCTTACACGTGTTTGGCACATAGGTTTACACGTGTTTGGCACATAGGTTTACACGTGTTTGGCTTATAGGTTTACACGTGTTTGGCACATAGGTTTACACGTGTTTGGCACATAGGTTTGCACGTGTTTGGCACATAGGCTTACACGTGTTTGGCACATAGGTTTACACGTGTTTGGCACATAGGTTTACACGTGTTTGGCACATAGGTTTACACGTGTTTGGCACATAGGTTTACACGTGTTTGGCACATAGGTTTACACGTGTTTGGCACATAGGTTTACACGTGTTTGGCACATAGGTTTACACGTGTTTGGCACATAGGTTTACACGTATAGTGTATAGGCCAGCGGTTCTCAGCCTGTGGATCGCGACCCTTTTTTTCGGTCCAACGACCCTTTCACAGGGGTCGCCAAAGACTATCGGAAAAAAACAAATTCACTGAATTTATCAAGTAGCAACGTAAATATATGTACGGTTGAGGGTCGCCACAACATTAGGAACTGTACTAAAGGATCGCTGCATTAGGGAGTTGAAAGCCACTGGTCTAGGCTGTCTCATCACTCGGGGGGGGGGGGGTGGAGAGGGAACTTGCAATATTCTCAAAAGAGGGTGTGGGGTGTGGGTCTTGCCGTATGTTTAAAAGGAGAAACTACTGCTCTAAATGCTGACTAATTTTCATTCAGTTCTAACTAGAAGACCAATTTATTTCATTTTTTGATGCTTATGAAACCATTTACCAGAACTGTGCCTACCATTGTTCTTATTTTTTCTTGCTTGTCACAATTCCTTTTCTTTGTACTTCTCATCTCACATGTAGCATATCGTTTGTACTTCTCATCTCACATGTAGCATATCTTTTGTACTTCTCATCTCACATGTCCCGTATCTTTTGTACTTCTCATCTCACATGTCCCGTATCTTTTGTACTTCTCATCTCACATGTAGCAAATCTTGTGTACTTCTCATCTCACATGTAGCAAATCTTGTGTACATCTCATCTCACATATAGCATATATTTTGTACTTCTCATCTCACATGTAGCATATCTTTTGTACATCTCATCTCATATGTAGCATATCTTTTGTACTTCTCATCTCACATGTAGCATATCTTTTGTACTTCTCATCTCATATGTAGCATATATTTTGTACTTCTCATCTCACATGTAGCATATCTTTTGTACATCTCATCTCATATGTAGCATATCTTTTGTACTTCTCATCTCACATGTCCCGTATCTTTTGTACTTCTCATCTCACATGTAGCAAATCTTGTGTACATCTCATCTCACATGTCCCGTATCTTTTGTACATCTCATCTCACATATAGCAAATCTTTTGTACTTCTCATCTAATATGTAGCATATCTTTTGTACATCTCATCTCACATGTCGCATATCTTTTGTACATCTCATCTCACATGTCGCATATCTTTTGTGCATTTCATCTCACATGGCGTATATCTTTCGTACATCTCATCTCACATGGCGTATATCTTTCGTACATCTCATCTAACATGTCGTATATCTTTTGTACGTCTCATCTCACATGTCGTATATCATGTGTACATCTCATCTCACATGTCGTATATCTTTTGTACGTCTCATCTCACATGTCGCATATCTTTCGTACATCTCATCTCACATGTCGTATATCTTTTGTACATCTCATCTCACATGTCGTATATCTTTTGTACATCTCATCTCACATGTCGCATTTCTTTTGTACATCTCTTCTCACATGTCGCATATATTTCTTACATCTTATCTCACATGTCGCATATGTTTCTTACATCTAATCTCACATGTCGTAATTGTGCACTTATATTTTTTAAAGACTGTCCATGTCTAGCATTGACAGCACAAAATTGGTACGAACAGCGAATGTATCAGCTGTTTTTGAGTGTGTGTGTGTGTGGGGGGGGGGGGTTGTTTATGTTTATATTTTAATGTGTCTTGTGTTAAATTTGTCTTTAACAATTTATGATCTGCTCTATGGGGGTGGTACAAATTTAATTACTTGAAAAGCAATAGGATCGACATCATTGTGCCGGGTTTCACCCAATAAGGCTCAATCGCAAAGTGGCTAGCTGCACCAAGAACGAATGTCCTAGTTCCGACAAAGGGTTCTCTTCTCTCCCTGTGATGCCTGAAACACCTTTACAGTGAAGCCCAAGTACATAGTTTACGATCGACTCTTCAACTTTTAGAGCACACGGCCAAAGACTAAATCACTCCACCACGGAGCATGATTTAAAAAAAAAAAAAAATGCCTATTGTGTTTTAGATAAATATGAAAGTATACAAAATTGAAATGTGGGTGTCATGTTTAAAAATTATACCAAGAGAAATAATGAATACCAGAAATCATGAAAAAGAGCACTTGGCTATAATGTAAAAATGTATCCACCGATAATTAAATCGTTTCTTTAATATTCTGTTTTTGGAAGACAAAGTTTTTAGTTACCCGTATTAATGGAATTTGACATCGATGTCTGCTGCGATATGTGTGAATTTGCCATTGGCTGTTTCTTACAAAACATTCGGTTCCATCTAGTTATGTGTTAGTTTGTTACCTCTTATAACTTCGATTGTCTACAGTTATACGGTAGTTTTCATTCAGTTAAACGTTAGTTTACCTGTAGTTAAACGTTACTTTTCCACCGATTAAACGTTAGTTTTTCTCCAGTTAAACTTTGATGTAGTAATAGTTTAGTTTTTCTCTAGTAATACACCTTAGTTTGTCTCCAATTAACGTTAGCTTTATCCATTTACACGTTAGTTGTCCTACAGTTATAAATTTCGTTTTTTCCAAGCATGTGTTAGTTTTCCAATAGTTATAAG